GGGGGGATTTACATGTTAATTTGTGCAATTACACGTATTTACAAAGTAACCCTTCAGTCTAAGTGTCCCAAGCTTCGAACTTTTCATGAGCCTTACTTACTTAAGGCAAACGATCTTTAACGATGAATTTATAGATAATCAGCGTTTGAAATAACGGCCAGTTAACGGACAATTTCCTGTCAGGATTTGCTATATGGCCGAACAAATCCTTGGATCCGCAGTCCTGTCTGGTCAATTCGAGTGCTTTAGAAGGATATTTACTATTGCGGACGGAATAATTAGCGTGCATACATAAATTAACTTTCGCTGCATTTTGGACACGTGACATTGACACATTACTCAACCTATTACTCCAATAGTATTATTGAGCTCAGTGATATCATACATCTGCTTAGCTTACCGGCGGGAACTCAACTCGTATATCTAACAGGTTTTATATTACACATTCAGTTTTATTTCGAGAGCTAGGTCAAGGTTATTGAGCTCAGTAGTACAGCTGTTTACTTTTCGTAAGCAAACTTCGCTATCCAACAGGTTTCATTATAAATTCGACAAGGATTTTTGTTTTCAACGTGTGATCGCGCACGCAAAGATTTTTCAGCTGCTAAGATTCCTGCTAGGATTGTCATATCGTATATTCACGCTCCTATTGTTTTAAATTTCTGCATGAAACAATATTTGTAGGTAATTTTACTGAAAGGTATTGTTTAGTCTTTGCATATGACTTAATTATATAATTTTCCTTATTCCCAGTGCTTCCATACTGCTTTATTTCGAATTAAAACCCTATGCATGCAATTACGGAGTCTGTACAGTGCCACAACACCCCCAAATTAGTAAAGCAAAAAAAGATCGAGCTCCGGAAAGCGAAAAAATTAAATTGGCCATGAGTACTTACACGTCGCCTGCGTAACGCAGATGGCGATTCGTAATTTTTAATGACGCACGCTAGCGTTCACTTCGAGAAAAATTTGGGATTTACTTGAGAAAAAGCCTAGAATCAGTGACAAAATTGGTTGACCGGTTAGGCTGAAACAGAGACATAGCCCCCTTCCCCTGTTCAATGGTGTTAGACTAAGATAGTCAAAATCTAAAGTGGTTTTGTGTTCTATTATTCACAACACATATACAGCAACATTGAAATGGAGGGGAGGATTTACATGTTAATTTGTGCAATTATTTACAAAGTAACCCTTCAATCTAAGTGTCCCAAGCTTCGAACTTTTCATGAGCCTTACTTAATGCAAATGATCTTTAACAATGAGTTTATAGATAATCAGCGTTGGACGGATACAGAATTGACTATGGCCGAACAAATCCTTGGATCGCCAGTCCTGTCTGGTCATGGTCAATTCGAGTGCTTTAGAAGGAAATTTACTATTGCAGACGGAATAATTAACATTCATTCATAAATTAACTTTCGCTGCAGGATTTTGGACACGTGACATTGACACGTTTTTGAGTTTTTGTTTTCTTCTTGAAAGGCTGTATTTAGAAATGATTTATCGGATAATTATGCATGGATATTTTACATAAAAGTAAACTACCTGTCTTCTTGCGTGCTTGGCTAACCTGTGACGATGTTAGATATCATTCTCTTCTCAGCAAATTCATATGAAGTGTAGAAATGCTCAAAACGTTCGTACAAAACACGCATAACGGATGTGTTGCGCGGAGAGCTTTCTGTACCGCGAGCTCTATCCATAGATGTCTTTTATAACCTAGATAGTGCATCTAATTATTCTGCAATTCAAAAATTGAAGCCGTGATTGCAGACTCAGGATATTCCCATGAAATGAGAAGATTTGTATGTTTTCTATTTCTTAAACAGGGAACTTAAACATTAAGTTAAACCTATTCAAAATACATTGGTGACCGCTGGAATATTCTTGGCTTCAATTTTGCTAAAAGAGATGCGCTATCTAGTGTATATAAAATATCTATGGCTCTATCCCAGAACAAGATTACTTTTTTATTGAAATTGACCACCCTTCCTCCAAAAGTCATATTATTACTGTAATTTGGAGAGAACAGGCTTTGTGACAATTTTGATTCAAGTAACCTGCATCTGAATGCTTATATTTATTGAATATTAGTTTTTATTGTTAATTTTACAAGTTGTAATAATGTGTAGCAGAGATTTTGCGTATATACACAGACCATCCCTTCAAGGCACTACCATTTTGAAATAAGTTTAAATAAATGAATTACTATGAAAATGACTATTATAAAAAACAAAACGTTTGAATTATAGGTCTAACGCTACGGCTATAAAAATTCATTACGTTTGTTATTATTTCGGCAAATGTACCGTAGCGTATGGTGTTTTGCATCCGCCAAGTTTAGTGGACCGTAGTTGGTACGCTACGGTAAGCCACTCCATAATAGTGTAAGCACAACATACCTAATTTTTGTGTGCAGTGATAACCAATTTGTGCAGTGATAAAAATAAAATGTGCAGTGATAAAATGTCAAATGTGCAGTTATAAAATTTGCTGTGATAAGTTGTTAATTAACAATTAACACGAAAATCAGGCAATGAGCAGAAGAGCTGAGCTAAAAATTCGTCTTGACACTCCTTGACAGTGTTAATCAAAACGTTTTGAATGAGAATAATTTGAATGAAATTGAAATGATAGCTGCCCAATTAGTATTAAAAACTAGTATTATACTTCAGGTTCATCAGATGAACAAAGTCTCGCACCAAAGGTCCCCTTATGAGCCTGGATGGTAAAGTGAATGATACTTATCTTTTTGTAGTTAGTGTGTAATCTTCAGAATTCTATAGAATGTCTCCGAACATTGCATAAAATTCCTTTTTAGAGAGCCTAGATTACAAAATTTTCTCTGGGTGCATGCCCTTGGAACTCCTCTAGATGTTTGTCAGTCCTAAGCTGCCTAAGCTGCTTCTCATTTGCCAATACGAAAATATTTCTTTCTTGCAAGTATGTGATTATGAAACTATGCCGTCACAGATAGTCGAAATTATAGGTGCTGTCAAAGGGGGCAATTTTCCTGGGGTTTAGTTAAAGGGGGCCGAAATAAAGAATTATATAAAATATAGTATTGCATATATATAACTGTCAAAAGACTTTCAGAATGCAGGATTTGGCCATTTCTGGGACCTCCGATTTTAAAATTTTCCTCAGGAGAATGCCCGGGACCCCCTAATGATAGTGTTAGAAGATGGAATCATGTGGGACACCAAGTCAAATTTGACCATGGGTACCCAAATGTCCCTGGGCAACCCTGTGTGTTGTGTTGTGCAGTGTATGCTGGTTTTTGGTAATTTTGAATATCAATCGTAGCCTGTTTTGTGCATAGTTACACATTATAAAGTGTGTTCAGAAATTTTCAGGGCGTGCTTCTGTTCGGCTAAACTTTGCGCAAAAATGTGCAGTGATAAAAAATTCTTAAAATTAGGTATGAAGCACAATACTAAATTAAGAAACTTATAACGTGTAGTGAATTTTTAACGGATGCTAGCCGTAGTGTTATATATTGTAAACGCGGCCTTAAGTCAGACTGAATTACGGTTTAATCATACTAACTTATACATATGTATCTGAGACTGGAAGATTTGAAATATGCATTGATATACAAAGTATTATACTGTAATTTGTAATTTTCATTTCAAATATAGCCACAAAAGAACTTATTAATATGTATGTATTTGTTTACAGTGTATATTTCAACATCCTTTGTCTTCCGCGAAAACCAAAATGCTCACTTAAATTAATATTTTCAAGGCTTTGCCATGTATTCATTTCTCAGCAGCGTGATTTTAAAACCATGTAACACGAGGTAATATTTGCTGCAACTTGCAACGCAATTGCTGTCAGCCATGCAAGTCATTGATCCCGACTCAATGAGATATGCATACAGTTGCAAGCCAATATGTATTGACTTGTAGTAGCCTTCTCGCAGGCAACTCTGTGGATGAAGGTTTACTCCGAAACGGTGAAATTTTGTTAAAGGCGTAATAACGCAATTTTTATTATTTATTATCATACTGTTTGGCCAAAGAGTGGGTGGTAATAGGAGACAGCAAGAGGATTTAGAGTTGATGAGAGGGATTATGAGGGATCTGGTTGCAGTCCCATCCAGCTCGGTCGAAGTTTTGAGTTTTGACAAAACTTCGGTTGATATAGATAAGGATACAACTACCTGACAAATACAAGGAGAATTTCGACGTTTCGAGCGAAGGCCCTTCGTCGAGAACTCTAAACTCACCTTCGTCGGTGAGTTTTGGTCGGGGTTTGTCGCAATTTGCATCGAGATGTAACAAAATGTCGCCGTTTGGGAACCCACAGAATTGTCTGCGGAGAAGGCTATAGTAGTATAGACTTGTAGAATCATCGCCAAGTGCAACATCCATGCGTAAAACATTCAAGCAATAAGCAATATTTCGCCCCAAAATTTCCGGCGAAAAGTTTCGCAGTAGAACCACTAAGTCTTATAATTAATATCCATTTAAAATAGTTGTCGGCTTTTCATTGTTTACATTAGTCACCGACCCCCTGTGTTTTCGTTTTGTGTAAAACTCTTATGAATAATTTGCTGTACGTGGCGTTCATTTTTCGGCGCTTTATCAAAACTTATTGAATTTCTATTTTTGTAAATAATTCCATTCACAGGTGACTGTCAAACAATATCTTCTTGTAAAACATTATTTAAAGTTTTTTATTTTGTTTGAGGCAAAGCTAGGCAGTTAAATGTAATATTCAACTTTTTTGTCTGTTACCCAAGCGACTTAACAAACACGTTCAAACATTTCGTTTTTTTCAGCTCCGAATCAGTCGAATTTGTTTTTTTGAACTGCTATAGTCTGTAGAACATGTTTAAATTAAAGATAATCCCTCTTTATTTTATTTAAAATTCTATGTAGCACAAATTATTTGCTCTATAATCAGACACGATAACCTTATAAAGAGTTTATGCATGAGTTAAACTGTATTTATAAGAACACCTCTTCAAGGCTATGTACTAGCGTTCACATTTGTATTACATCTGATGTACTGTTGTAACAATTTAAAAGTACTTTCCAGATTTTCTCCAAGCCGTTTGAAATCCTGCTCGACTATACTTTGATAATCCAGTATTGACTGCGTCACGCGCTCTGAGTTATCGGGCAAATTCTTACTACTATTCACACCAACTATTTGTGGAAGATGTGTAGTGAGTTTGCTGGGACTATATTTTACTTTGCTTTCGGCAGTATAACGTCTGTTTTCTTGTATATCTGGGAATCGAACTGGGATTTTCGATTTAAAAATTTTGGACACTTCGTTGTCATGAAAATGTGCACTTGAACTTCTTAAGGATGACTGAATGTCTAATTGCAAAGGTGTTCGTAATGATGATTCAGTGTCTGTGATGCTTTCACTTCTGCTAGTTACACGTTCAATTGTCCTCGACGTATTGTTGGTATCCATGTTGTTATCTACTTGGGTATGGAGCCACTTCTTCGCTTGTTTTTTAACTTGTGTGTCCTGCGTGTCATCAGTTAGCTTCCTTCTGTTCCTTGTATGCACTGTAGGATGTGTTAATGGCTCTGTTTCATCATGAGTTAAATCCATCCCCATGCTTAAAATGTCTCCAACTGTCATTGGGTCTGAATGTTCTGTTATTCTTCGCACTCTTCTGTTTAGTTCAGAATTGATTCTCGTTTTTTGTACAGGTGTGGTATAAGGAGAGGTTGTACGACTTTCAAATAGTTTACTGTTCCTTAACTTGTGAAAATGTGTCGGTGTTTGCAGTGTATGTGCTCTAGCTCTGCTCTCCCGGCCTGAAATTACAGGTAGTTCTTCACAGTGGTTGTCTTTTTTGGTTGATATTCTTTTTCTTATTGCTTTCGCTCGCTTCCTTCGTCCCTGGCCGACGCTGTACGTTGCCTTCTTCACTTCTTTCCTGCTTGACTGTTCATTGACAGTTTCCAAACTTTCTGTAGGAATAAATGTCGGTATTCTGGTAAACATTTCGCGAGAGTGAATTATTCGATGTTCATTTCACGATAATAATTCGATATATACTTTTCGCTAGCACTGTATGTTTGACTTCCTGTCCGCAAAAAACAAACAGCTTTGTCCTGTGAGAGGTTTAAAACAGACGCCATATGGAAACACGAGATCAATTAAGAAGCGAGCATCTTAAGCCTCTCAAAACTATTCATGCGAGCTTCCGTTCTTTATATTTCGCCGCAGCTCAGCTGCTCAGCTGATATCGTGATATGAAGATATTGCTTTTCCGAAATTGGACTGCAGCATCGCTTTATTCAAATGACTTTTTAATCAAGCCAGCCCCCTGTCGATAACATGCGCATTATTCTAAATTAACATGGCGTATTGACGAGAATATTTTGTTAGTACTTTTTCCTTCACCTTTTTTTTGTTATTGTTAAGAATCCTAAAAGTCAAGAACTTAAAGAAGATTTTTGGTGATTACGTGAAGGATTTTGTCAATGAAGAATAATCTATATTTATCTTGTTGTCAACCATGTAAACATTGACATGTTCCTTAGATACCTTATCATGCTAAATCGTTGCATTATTTCATCTCGAATATTAATCAGCGACATGTCAAAAAATAACAATGAAAATTGCCATTTCGTGCGCGAAATTTCGTGGCGACGGAAAAGTAGCCATGGCGGAGTCAAATAATAGCGATCATTATTCACCTTATCATGTTAAAATGTCAAGTGTTTTGTTTCGTTTGCTTGTATCTGATGAATGGTCTTGTCAAGCGTAGTTCAGAATTCAGTTTTAACTTTGATAATGATTTTGAAATAAAATCGAAATATTACTGTGTATCTAATTGTTTTTTGTTAACAACTTAAATTCCCAGTCTCTCTAGTGCGGAATGAAATGCGTTTTATTAAGATTATTTAGTTTTATTTTGCATTCCTCAAGAGTTAAGGTTTTCAGCTGCAAATGAGTTGTGATTGGAGTTTTATGGATTTAGTGTGAAAGGATGAAAGTCCAAACTGTTTGGGTTATATATCCTTTCTTTTTCCAATAGAACGGCTCGTAAAAAGAAAGAAATTTGCTTAATGAAGTGAAGCTAATATCTAATATTTTTGGCATGTAAAGAAAATCTCGAAGTTTCAAATCTACCTCCACGCAATAAGTTGTTTGTGCTTATTGTTGATCCGGGTGGATCAAAAGCTTCACGAATTGTGTTTTTTGTCACAAAACTAAATCATTTAAGCTAATTTAAAACATTCTTTAATTCCTTATACACGGTTTTCGCTTTTGATTTACTGTACAGTACGTGTTAGTTTTTGTGTTGTTGAATATCTAATACTATAACTTAAGTCAACAAGTTCTTAACATATATAGTTTTAATCAAATTGATTGCCAATCATCTATATTACGTTTATTATTACCTGCGTAGACAGGTGGCTATTATTTTTCAATACAAAGCCATTGCACAAAAGCACGCTACCCGGCCGCGCCTCCCACTGAACTCCATATATAACTGGAGCAAGAACGCTAGTGAAAAAAATGAGGCCAAGATGGCGGAAACTGACGTCCAGTGCCAGTCGCTTCCTATTGTTTTTGTCTGCGCGGTTAGCATGAAGCAAACAACCGGCCCAAATGTATATAGCTCAGTGGCGTGTCCATGCACTGAACCATAAAGTATACACTGGAGCGCTAACTGCATTGACTAAGTCCTATGATTGGTTGAAGACAAAGTTAAAGCTGCATGCAAGCGGTAAATGCGCCTTCAAAAAGTCTAAGTAGAGTTTTAGGAAGTGTGAAATATTGACATTCAGTCAAAACTCAAAAGCTTGTTTTTGAACAAAAATTAGGAAGGAGGGAGGCTTATTGATTTAATATATTAGCCGAAACACAGTGAGTAAGAAACTCAAACACAGTATACTATGGCGTGAAATGACAGGATTGCATAGTTGATAAAGAAGAGGAGGCTTAATTATTAAGTCAGTATCCTCTGTAAAGGATGAGGGGTTGGAGAGGTGGATATATTTGGAATGGGCCTTAATACGGTGTTCAAACTTTGGCCAATGAGGAGCAATTGCTATCTGGACGATACATTCAATTTCCAACTAAGGGACTGATTATACATGGAGAGTTTTCAGCCCGTGTTGAGTTTCATTCCGGTTCCCGGGCTGAAATTTCAGCCCGGCCTGAGGATAAAATTCTATTAAAACACAGCAAACGATTACATGACCAAAATTCCAGCCCGGGCTGAAATTTCAGCCCGGGCTGAAACTTAGCCCGGCAGCATGTAATCACAAATAATCTCAACCCGGGCTAAAAAACAACAGTTTTTTATTGTGCGTGTTTCATCTTTAAATACTTTACATATAACTACAGTCTCACACAAGTCAAATAGTCGACTAATCAGCGTCTGATTACTTCAAAGAAGCGTAACAGGCTTATTGTCCTATTTTGTGACACTCAGATTATTTCAGCCCGGGCTGACATTTCAGCCCGGGTTAACTATGGCCGTATGGGCGCTTTCCATTTGACGGGCTGAGTTTAAACGAGCTGAAATTGCATCACGATTACATGAGCAATTTGAGCCCGGGCTGAGTTTAGTCAGAGCTACAGTATATTTATGTATTTATTTATTTATTTAACTTTGCCAAGTAACATGCAACATTTAACAGTACTGATTTACAACAACATATAATATGTGTTCCATTGGCAGGGTGCACGCAACAGTTTTCACCACTACAGCGGCCCCATAACTATTTTAATACTATACAACAATATACAACGAACATAAATCTAATAACAACACGATATTTGACAGGACAGATTACGAGACTTGTTACAAGACAAACATATAGATTTTATATATAAATATAGCTCTGACTAAACTCAGCCCGGTCTCAAATTGCTCATGTAATCGTGATGTAATTCCAGCTCGTTTAACCGGGCTGAAACTCAGCCCATGCTGAAAACTCCATGTGATCAGAGGCCTAGGGACTAGGCTGTAAGCAGCGCCTAATAACTGGGAATTTGTGTGGCGTACTCCAGAGTAAGTTTCGAGATCAGTGGGGCTACCGGGAGTTGACGAGTGACATGCGATGACGAGCCGATGACAGGTCATCGGTTCAAGATTAAACAAGAACGAGAACATTTTCAAACAAAAAACCGAAAACAAAATGTCAACTTTCCTTGCTATTACCAAGTCTATTTTATCCTTGGCTTTGATGCTATTTAGATATGCATTTTACCGTGCTATTTCGTCCCTTTTAACCGGCCTGATACTGTTATTTATGGCTATTTTAATGTTCGTTACATTCTACCAAGCCTACATGCCCGAAGTGTCCCATGTGAAGCCAGTATATCTTCAATTCAGGTAGGTAAAACATAAACAAAACTACATATTCCATTTCTTTAATGTTCAAACTCGAAAGCAGTGATTTGAGACAATGTAGTTTTGTTTATACAGTTCAGATTGCCACGGGCAGACGACGGCTTTATGTACATATCCCGAAGCAAGCGTGTTTTTCACTCCATCGAACAAAGCGAACGAAGAAAGGGTTAGTTTTAGAGCTATATTATTATAAATTTGTATCAAAATGGTTTCTTTCACACTTTAAGTTTGTAATACACAACCAGACTATATAATTTCGGATTAAGTCAAGCTCCTACAATTAGGCTCTTAAACTATCGTGTTTGTGTTTGAATTTTGGTGAAAAATATACGCTGTTTTTCCCGCCAAAAGACCAAATGTTTGTATTTTACACATTTAAAGTTTCGAGCATGTTTTAAGATTTAGAATGATAGAAAAAGCTTCAATATTAAGAGTACGATAGTCGGCTACGCTTAAATTTGAGAACGAAGTTAATTTGCATGTCATTTGTAAACATAATTAAATATTCAAGTGAAACACGAATTCGCTGATACGGAAAATTAATGCATATAGGCACAGCATCTTTAAAACGCTATATAACGCTTCGATAATATCGTTTTCATGCTGGACTTTTAATTTTTTGTGGATTTTTCCAGATGTTAATGCGAGGTCAAGCGTACAAAGTTTTTCTAGATCTTGAAATGCCTCCATCACCAACGAATGAAAAGCTGGGTAAGTGTCAACAATATTGCTCTTTTGACTTTCGTCTTTTTTTAAAATTATGCAATGAAAGATTTTTTTTAAAAAAATGTAGCCTTGTGATTGTTAGATTTTTTTATATAAAATAATATTGAATTAGGCCACTCGAAATTAGACTTTAGTTTCCCGTCCGTTTACACGCGCGGGCGGGCGGTCCATTTCGTTATCCATTTTATATATAGTGTCTGAAACGGAAAGAATCTGACGCGACCCATGATTCCATGAAATAGATACACGTGTTTATACGATATGTTTTGGATTTTTTGTATGCATAAATTAACGCCACCTTGGATATTACTTAACCTTAATCCTTTATATCCTTTTATATAACGTTCGAAAATTAAAACGTGTAACAGAAGTGTCTAGCTCAGCGGTTACTGTAGTAAAAACGAACAAAAACGACAATTCGCCCTCAGAAACTGTGGATTTTCATTATTCCGTGGTCAGTTCTCAGCGACACGGGCAGAGGACAGGCGGAAACTAAAATCTAATTTGGAGTGGCCTTATTGAATTCAGTGCTGTACATCTGAGCCCAACTTAAGCATGCTGTATTATTTTCTACGTTTCGGCCGGCCATGTTTTTATACATGCATATTTAGCAATGTCTGATGAGCCTCAAGTTCACTTGAGCTTGCAAGGGGGAGGGGGGAGGGGAGTGGGATAGTACCCCTCCTCCACCATTATATTTTTTGTCAAAAACACCATAAATCATTGGGTCATTCCAGAAAAGATCCATACCCCCCCTACGGAGGAAATCGAAAATAACCCCCTCCCCCCCTTCGGACATCCTTGAATGGTTCATCCTCCCCCCCCTCTCCGGACATCCAAGCCCAAAATTACCCCCCTCCCCTTCGGACATCCACTATTTCTAAATTTTTCTAAAGGCTACCTCGCCGTTTGAAAACGTCACCGAAAATTAGACTACGTTCACACTACGCGCGAGCGAACTAATGCAGGCAGAATTTACGTGTGTTCATACTACCGCCATTACAGTTTGTTTACAAATTGAATTAGCACTCGTGTAAACCCAAAATATTTCAAATAGACCCAAGAAATTTAACTGAAAAGCATTCGAGTTTACACGTTTGTGTTCACACGAAGCTATCAAGCGCTCCGCCGTTTTCACCTCGCTCCGTTTAGAAACCGTGCTCAAATTGTTACGGCAAAAGTGACGTGAAAGTTTTCAAACGATTTCGCTCCAGCGTAGAGTGAATTAGCGATGGCTTATTGTGACTTTTCTACGCTGTTCTCAAATAGCTCCGGCGTGGCGGAACACTTGGCGGATTCTTGTGACTTGCGAACACAAACACGTGGCAGGTTTTGTCGGATAATTTGCAGAAATTCACTTCGAAATTCGTTCAAGTAAAATTCGGACTGAAATTCGATGTAACTTGTGACTGATTGACAAGCGTTGCTGTGTTTACTTACATGTTAATACATTTTTTAGTATTACTGCATTCCTTAACCTCGCCCTTAATATGAAAGCCATTTCTATTTTCTAGACACGCACCTCGCAAGGAAGCTTTATTGACTATATACTAAAACTAGGCGTAACCACAGGTTAAAAAGTGCGACCTGGAGACTTTAGTCACTAATGACAACGCGCCGGCTCACGCTGTTTTGGCCAGATATAGTTGGTGATCATCCTTTACTTTTGCCAAAAGTCGGTCGCTCGGTCGGTCGGTCGGGTTTTTCCATTTTTTATATAACGATTTGCGTCAAATAAACATGCACATAACAACGTACTTTATTTCATATTATCTATTGATATATTCAAAACAGTAACAACTTTTCAAGTTTATGCAAAGGAGTGGCGATAATATATGGGCCATTATTGCTCATTATATAATAAAAGTCAGCCCATTTACACTGATCCAATTTAGATAAATTTATCAAAATATTAACTTGACTGATTGGTATCCAATTACGTCACTTGCTACAAATTACATAACAAATAGTAATACATTTGTGATTATATTGTCGCTAGTGCTACGGCGCAAAGTCGCCTTCTATGAATAGCATGACGTGTCAACAACAATACCGATTGACAAAGCGCAATTTAAAGATAAATATTAAAGCCCGGCACATGACTTTCAAACAACAGACGTTTCTTTGTATACATCACAACATCCTCACGCACAGCATTTAATCTTTTTGATTATTTAAATCTGTCTTCAATAACAGACTTACAACAGTTAGTAGATGCTAAGTTAAGCTTCATTTGATGTACAATTTGATGAACAAAAGTTAAAGGTACATGTATAAAATTGCATCAGTATCGATGAGTAAATAAAGACCAATAAAACACTGGGCGGAAATACCGTTCCATGCGGTCTTCCAAATATGGAAATATGTTCCAAATATGGAATGCAAGCCGAGGTGAATCGGTGAATCTTGAGCCGGGGCTAATCCGAACTCAGCAGTATATTTAAATTTTCTACGCACAGAAACAGATTAGGATGCTCCCAGCTCGCTCGCTGGTGCTCGCTCGCTGGTCGCAACAAATTGTTTTGAGTTCAGTTCACATAGCAGTCTCTTAATTCGAGCAACAGTTTAATAACTATTATTTTTAACACTTGAATAATTCAAACTTATATATGGCGAACGAAATCTGCAAACTATATAAATAAAGCGTGTCAATTTTCGACTCATTCTCAACATGCAGGATACGCTGTTACAGCGAGTTAGTTTTTGGTGGCCATGCATGCAAAAGTGGTCCGCTTATTTTGCTTACAAGTTACGTGGATGTATAATTATTGCTGTTACATAAACGTTCCGCTGTTCAAGAGCTGCATATATATAGCCGATAAAAATTGCGTGCTCATTATAATCGCCGATCACATGGCTTTATCACAGTCTCAAACCTTCAGACAAACATATCCACATTCCTCTCCCCCCCTTCGGACATCCTAAGACATTTTTCCTCTCCCCCCCCTTCGGACATCTTAAGACATTTTTCCTCCCTCCCCCTTCGGACAGCAAAAATTTCCTCCGTAGGGGGGGTATGGATCTTTTCTGGAACGACCCATTGCTCAAAAAGAACGACAAAAAAACAATCAAGAAATAGTGATTTTGAACATGTTATGAGAACAATAGTACAAGTAATGCAAAATATTGATCATTTTGCGAGAACTATTGTAGTCTGTAGACATATTGAACATTTCTTATGAAGGTACTAGTATTGTGCACAGTGCTACGAGTAAAATCATCTGGCATTACTGTAATAGACAGAGTAAAATAATAAAGTAGGGTGCATCTGGGTACATTGCCACTTAAAGGGTTAAATTTAGAGAATTTACATGCTGTTATAAAACAAATGAGCTAAAGCTCATTATAATTTTGCTTGATCTAGCTATGCATGATATAACTTTGAAGCAATTTAGTGCTGACACCAATATGTACGTCATGCCACAAAAATGATCTAATAGTTTACCTTGTTAAGAATTTTCAAAATTAACAGTACCTTAGCAGACCTCTCAACTCGCACGCATTCGGCGTGAGTCTCACGCAATTCGCTTCAGTCTCACGCTCTCACGCCAGACCTCTCAATTCTCACGCATTCGGCGTGAGTCTCACGCAATTCGCTTCATTCTCACGCTCTCTCTCACGCCACGTTTAGTAAATCTAACGCATAAAAATTTTGGCATATCCGCATAGGCGTACCGGGCGAGTTTTTTGGGCAGTCGGGCAATATTCGAGCAACAGTCGGGCAATTTTGGGTTGCAATAAAAGAAATGTGACAAATTCTGTAAATTTTGTCTAAACTTAAGTCCATTTTTTGGCAAATTTTGTGATTTTTCGAAAATTTTGTGTATGTTCCGAAAAATATTTGTTGTCCGGAAAATTTTTTTGACCCCTAAAATGGTACACCGACCGAAATTTTTTTGGCGACGGGGGGGGGGGAGGTCGCCGAAATAATTTTTCCGGAAAATTTTTTTCAATCTCACGCTTAACTTCTCTGCAAAGTTGAGAGGTCTGCCTTAGAAGTGCTTAACCCATTAAACACCAACACTCTACCCTTGACAAATAAAATTGTCTGGTGTTAAACAGAGTAAAATAGTCTGGCATTAGACAGAGTAAAGTAGGGCCCATCAGGGCACAATGTTACTCAATGGGTTAAGTAAGTCATATCAGTGCTAAACAATAAATTGCAATGCAATGTGGGAAACATGCAGGACAAAATATACCTTATATTGATTCAAAATTGTGTGATATAAGCACTTTTAAGGTCTATTACCACTCCCATGAAGTGCTACAGTATATTAGTAAGATTACACTTCATTATGATTGGCTTTAACAGCAATATTTGCCCTGAATCAGTTAGCTTGGGGAGGATTGCTTATAAGCTGACCACAGTGAAAGGTGATGTAGCACTTCACAAGGAGTGTTAAATACTCATTCCTATCCAATCAGTATTTAAGTGTATCTCTTTCAAATAATGCTAGATTTACTCCATAATAATACCCTTTAATTAATTAAACTGAAATGTAGTAGTGAATTAGTGTACATATTTTTTCATCACTATATAAATATTTACAATTAAAACCTACTAAAAAATATTTACATTTAGCATTCAGTTGCAATAAATATTTTAGTAACAATGTCTCGACCAACCTTGTATCCAGGATCTTTTCTTTTGGGGAGAAAAGACCCTGGTAGATGCTTGTCACATGAAGTGCTAAAATCTCATAAAATTTAGAAGATTTTTAATTAACTATATTGGACTCCTTTACTTACGAGATTCATACAAAATACATCTATCATAAAATTATCATCATAAAATTAATTAAACTATAAAAATCATCCAAACATCAAATATTTATAAACCTCAGGTTGGATTGCTAATTAGAAACCTGCTAGATTTCAGTAGATCATGTGATCATGCACTTCAAATCTGTCATACCATGTGTGACAGTGACTGGTTATGGTTTTTCAATACCCTAGATTATATTTAAGCTGGACATTTGGTCAAATGCAATAACATTTTAAGGACGTGACCTTAAAAAAACTAATGTACTTCTTTGGTGGCAAAAGGGTTCAAGGAATACATTTGTCGATAATCGCTTTATGAGACGACAATAAAGACCTACGATTGGTTCTATTCCTTTTTAATATCTAAAACATGCTATTTTTATACTAAATAAATGCTCTCGAAAAACAACAACGTTCCGCCATCTTGGATTCTCACACGTGTTTTTATAACCCTATTTATCCCTACATATCCACATTTATAATGTCCTGTCCGTTTCTATCTCTAGATATCAACTTGAATTATCGCTTGTCCGTCTATATCCCTACATTTTCCCACACTCTCCCCCTATTTACTTTGGCTAGTCCAAAGGTAAATATATTTACGGTTATATGATAAAGTCAACTTCAACGTCATAATAGTCCTAATACGGACGTAACTGTTCAGTATTAACCCATAACTGCTAAATGTTCCATGCTAATGTTCTTCCTCTTCTTCTTCAGCAATTAGACGAATGTTCTCTTTCGCTATCTTTGCTGCCCGTCGTTTTGGTGTGAATTCTTTAACTGTTGCATCCAATTTCTTCTGGCTTGCTCTGTCGCACGATAACTCCATCGGATACAACTGTTGTATGGCACGTTCCAGGAACGACTTACCAGCTCGCAATCGTACTGCTCTCACAATTCCGTCTCTGCCTTTTATCAGCTTTTCTACGATGCCAATTTTCCATCGCCCACGATTTCGTTCATCACCCTTTATTAAGACTACATCTCCAGGTTTTGCATTCATCTCCGTTGTTTTGTTCTTCAAGTTGTGTCGTTCTCTCAAAGCTTTCAAATACTCAGCTGACCATCTCGACCACCATGCATTCTTACATCGTTGCAAGTACTTTGCTCTTTTTCTCAGATCACCATCGTTTTCATCATCAAGTTCTGCACTTTCTGGTATCAAATTAGGACGTCCTACTATCATGGCATGTGGTGTTAGAGTTGGCAATTGAATGTCATCTTCGACGTAATTTAATGGTCGATTGTTTAGGACTGTCTCAATATCCAAGAGCACTTCTTCCAGTTCCTCCCAGCGCAAATTTGCTTTACCCGTGGTCTTATAGAGAGCTTGTTTCACAAGCCCCACCATCCTTTCAAATTGACCACCCCACCAAGGGGCGCGGCTTAAATTGAATTGCCATGCAATTTTCTGCTTCGCTAGCCAATCATGCAACTGTTCATCTCTCATAGCCTTACGTAACCAATTTGCAGCTGCGACGAAAGTTTTCCCATTGTCTGAGTAAATCCGGTCTGGTCGTCCCCGTCTTGCAATAAGTCGCTTCAAACTTCGAATGCATTCGTCGGTCGTAAGATCAGGCAGCAACTCCAGGTACAATGCGCGTGTCAAACTGCAAGCGTAAAGCAATATGTATGACTTCTTCTCTTGACCTTTCTTAGCTCGATACGTTATCGGTCCAGCATAATCAATTCCGACAACTTGAAATGGCCATGCTCCTTCAGTTCTATTTCGCGGAAGATTGCCCGGAGGTGGTTGAGCAAGGGCGGTAGCTTGATGACGTTTGCAGCCATAGCACTTCTTGATTACACGCTTCGTAACACTTCGCAGACGAGGGATCCAGTACTCCTTTCTGATTTCTGTCATAACAAGTCCCACTCCCCCATGCAAAGTTCGCACATGAGCATCCATCACCAGCTTTTCTGTAAGTGTTGACTTGTCAGGAAGGTATACTGGGTAATCTCCCTGAATTCTACCTCGACATTCGAACAACTCTTTGTAATTTCTCTGTAAGTTGAGACGCTGTCGATCTTCCTCGAATTCTCTGGTTCCTTGACATTTCTCTTGCACTCGCTTTACCCAAAAGTCGACTTGAAGGTTGGTTTCTGCTGTCTTTAGAGGACCTTTGATTCGTTCCGATTGCTTCAACTTGCAATTGCTGGTGAACCTTGCTACCCAAGCGGTTGTTCGTATGACTTTCCAATACTCGAACTTTTCCATCAGCTCATCAAGCTTATCTTCCTCTCGCATCGCTACTGCCAACACATCTCGTACAATCTTAGCTTCGGATTCACTTTCTGCAGTCGCGCTCGTAACAACTGTCTCTGGCCAACTTTCTGGATGCTGCAGCCATGCAGGTCCCCGCCACCAAAGCTCGGATAGTTGTTCTACAGATCCACCACGGCTTCCCACGTCTGCTGGGTTTTCGGCTGTAGGTACATGTCCCCACTGGATGTAATGCTTTTCTTGGATTTTTCTTACGCGATTTCTTACAAACTGTTTATATTCTCCATTCCCGTTTATCCAATGGAGAGCCACGGTACTGTCAAGCCAACCGTAAACGCCTGTTACTGGAAAACCCGCCAATGCTACTTTCACGTTGTGCACAAGGTTAGTACTCATATGCGCCGACACTAGCTCTTGTCTGGGAATGGTCAGTCCGTGTTTTGCGAGACGCGACTTGGCGGCAACGAGTCCCTGGCTGACTCCTGTCTGTTGCTGAATCACTGCGTACACTATCGTTGAAACCCCTTTTCCACTTGCGTCCCCGAAAGTATGCAGTTGGATTCCTGTGATCTCTTCTTGATACTTGACAAGGCTTCTTGGCACTGTCACTTGGTCAGGTAGATGTTTCTCCCAACGCAACCATTTGTTAAGAACTGGAGTAGGTAGCTGTTTGTCCCAACATTTTTGGATTTCACAAACATCACGATACAGCATCTTACCAGCCACAGTGATTGGTGACACTAATCCTAATGGATCGTAGATTCTGGCAAGGGTACCCAAGATTCCTCTTCTTGTGGGTTCTGCTTTCTGTTGCGACACTTTGACTGCTATAGTATCTTCACCTTTCTTCCATGGTAAGCCCAGTAACTTGGTTTCACCTTGCTGCACTCCTAGTTGCTCCTTCGCATAACTTTGTTGTTGGTCAAAGGTGGATGTGCTGGTTGTTTCTAGGTCAGGGTTGTTTGAATGCCACTTATGAAGTTCAAAGTTTGCTTCGCCAAAAATCGTTTGAGATGTTTCTTTCAAGTGTAAGGCTTTGGCTGGGGTCTCTCCTCCACCAATTAGGTCATCCACATAAAGGCTTCGTCTGATCTCTTCTACTTCGTGTGGGAATCTCTCTTGACACAGTTCCAAATGTTGTTCAATCACTCCTCCCAGAAGGAAGGGGGATGGAGCGAGGCCAAACAGGGCGCGTGTGAATCGTAGTGTTTCCACTTCTTTAGTTCCCAAATCTTTGAACCAATGAAATTTCAACACATCTCGATCTTGATTCTTTATCCACACTTGTAAGAATGCTTGCTTCAGATCTCCCGCAATGGCCACTGGATAGAATCGATTTCTCACCAACACGCTCCAAAGTAAGTTCTGCAAGGATGGCCCAGTTTCCAAACACTCATTCAGGGAAGGTGCTTTCTCATTCTCTCGAGCAGAAGCATCGTAAACGATGCGAAGCTTGGTTGTCTCGGCGGAATCACGAACAACGGGTTTGTGAGGGATGTAGAACTCACGACCATCTGCTTCTTCTGTTGCTTTCTCTACAATGCCTTGCGATAACTGATCTTTGATAACATCATCATACTTCTGAAGCATACCGGGTTGTTTCTCCAACTTCCTGGCAAGGTAATTTAACCTTCTTAGACTTCCCAGCTCATTATTTGGTAAAGGTGGATGGCATCCTCTCCAGGGAAGGCCGGTTTCATACGATCCATCTGGGCGTCTGATCAACTGTTCCTTGAATTCTTCATATACACTCCGTTGGTCTCCTGCTGGCGAATCTTTCAAGCCCAACACATCAAGGCTGCAGAGATTTTCATAGTCCACGGTTGACGTTTGCGTTAAGAACATGTTTGACAAGTCCACTTCACTTCCAGGTGAGATAAGGGTCCAACCAAAACGGGTGAATTCTGCAACAGGGTCTCCAGGTTTACCAACACGGGGTCTGGTTTCGGTTTTAAATCTTTCAGGTAGGAAAATTTAGTTACAATAGGTATTTCAGCAGCCTCTATCTCCGCCTCAAACTGATTCCAAAATCTGAGCCAGTCAGTAAATTCTCCGTTAAATTTCGAAATAACAAGTTTTGGTAGCTTTGAATTTGACCTTGAAAGATTATCCTTAGTCTTGACTTGAGCTTGGCGGCTTTCTTCGATTTTCTTCTCATACATCATTCGTTGTTCAAATTTTTCTTCTTCAAATTTCATCTCTCTTTCGAATTGTTTCTGCTTCATTTGCTCTATAAGTTGTTCTTCGTCTTGCTTTGTTTGTTCCAATGATCTTTTGTTCAGTTCCTTTATCACGCTTTCAAGCTTTTCTATATTCCCTTCAAAAGTCGTCAACTGGCTGTCGATATCCGAGCTCCACTCACGTATATTATCTGTCTCCTCGTCACTTTGAATTTTAAGCTCTTGTATTTCAACTTTTAAACTGTATACTTCTTCCAATTTCGTTTTGAGCACTCTTTGTTGTCTTTCCAGTGACGGTACGTGTCCTTTCTCAATTGTTCGTTGTGTTTCTTCATCGGTTAGCTTCAGTAGTTTGATCTTAGTCTCCATCGATTTCAATTTACCTTCGTAGGTCGCCATATTTTCACAAATTTCACACAAATTTTCCGAGATTTTCGCTTAAAATCACAGTTCCCATTCACGTCAGAGGTGCCACTTTGTCGATAATCGCTTTATGAGACGACAATAAAGACCTACGATTGGTTCTATTCCTTTTTTAATATCTAAAACATGCTATTTTTATACTAAATAAATGCTCTCGAAAAACAACAACGTTCCGCCATCTTGGATTCTCACACGTGTTTTTATAACCCTATTTATCCCTACATATCCACATTTATAATGTCCTGTCCGTTTCTATCTCTAGATATCAACTTGAATTATCGCTTGTCCGTCTATATCCCTACATTTTCCCACACATTTAATATTGATTAATTACATCACTTCACTAGTCACACATTATTTACAGTATCTTTGGCAAATGAAAAACATCTAACAGTAACATATAACTTTACAATATTTTCTAAACACAGGGATTGACATTCTTTAGAGATTTCCATATCATAATTTGCAATAATATTGCACCACAAGCTTTTCACAAGGGAAGAAACCAAAACTTCATTCACTATTTTGTCTACTGGGAGACAAGTGAACTTGTCTTTTACTAAAAACTAACTCACTAACTTCCATTACACTTACAAGCCATAAATGAGGTGACCAAAGGCCACCACAACGATTAAATGTACTCATTGTCCTTTGTTGCAGTTCGCATTGAATACATCAAGGCTTGAATTTCTTTGTTTCTCTGGGAGTGCCACCTGGAACAATTCTTGCTTTTTCGATACAAAGATCTTATCATGAGTTCATAACCAGCCAAATAGGTCAATGGCCAAGCTCTTGTGATGATACAGAAACTTCTTCCTAAAATAAGTTAATAAAAATACAATAAATGCTAATACACTGGGTAAATTGAGCTACTATATTTCTACCCAGGGATATTACCCTGGTCCATTACCTTTTGGAAACCAAGATGGTCGTGGGTACAGGGTAGTTGTATTTTAAAATTATTAAATAATTTGAGGGAACTTTATATAGGTTTGACCAGTATTATATATTATACAATTTATAGACCTTATTGAAATACACTACCTCCAGACATACACCATCTAGCTAGCTGGGTCAAACTGATAAATATAACTATGTCAGAAACTCAGAAAACAATTACCTCAGAGTCAAATGGTTGCGCAATACATGTCAACAAACGCTCTGGGAGATGAATTAGGATGAAAAACATAATCTTCTTGTTAGGATAAGGATGAAAATATTGTTGCCAATGGGCGTTTGTATTGCCATAAAACTCCTTTAGACAGTGTTCTTTGCTCTTCTTTCTTTTAATTTATAATATAAAGTTTCAGAAGGATATTGATGTTTTGTTAGACCACCCTTTGACTTGCAAATTTTCTCACAAAAGTCGCAAGGGAATTGCTTATTTCCTTCAACCTAGATTCAAGTTAAATTATAGGTGAGGTTATTGAAAAGGCACGGCTTACTTTTATAAGTTATTTTGATATTTTAACTCACCTCTTCATGCGAATTTTGAACCTCGATCATCACCACCTCGAAGTCCATATCAAGCATTAGCAAGAGTTTGCTCAAAATCGTCTTCAAAATCCGAACTATAGGCTTCATTGCCTTCATAAAATAGCAAAGAACTCTCTTCGTCCATCCCCATGTATTCAATGCCGCTTGGCTCCATAGACCTCGTATGTGACGAGAAAATGGTGATTTTAGTCAAAGATCCCTCTATTTTCTATAAGTTTCTACTATAAATTACAGCTCGAATGCACTATAAGCTGTCACGTGACGTATTTTGTAACATGATATCCCATTTGATCACGTGTTGCTTTGAAGTTTGCCGGCCTTCCAAACCCGGTTAGTCTATATTAACTATGGCCCGAGGTAATGTATTGAATCAATATTTGAGGAACACTTCAATTGGAACGACAGTAATGAAAATAGAGAATGTTTTATCTGCAACTGTTCACCCTTAGTTGCAACCGACGGTATTTGACAGCATAAAATTGCCTGTGGCTGTGATAACTGATATAAATAAAATACAGTCTGGTTATACTGACTTGAGCGTGTCATGACAAACTCTTTATTGGAAAATTGTGAAGAAATAGTCGAATATAGAGGGTCGAATATCATACTTCAACTTGTATATATAGCTACAGTATCATTGGTACATAGCGTTGTGAAGACAAGCCTTTGCTTACCTTTCGCTTCAGCAGTCTTTTTTTCCATGCTTCTCTACGCTTTCCCAGGCGAGCTTCTCTTTCCTCAGCAGTCTCCTCGAGCAAACGTTGTCGTCTTCGCTAGCTCCCTCCTTTTCGCTAGACGTTCGGCTTTCTTGTCGTTTCCTTGCCGCTCTTCATTTGGCTCCATACTGTAGTCGATATCTTTTCAATTGGTATTTGATACCGTAATTGTTTTATTAAACTTTTTATAGAACAAATTGCTTTGAAAGCTGTCAAAGTTTTTTGCAAACGTACAAAATATTGCAGTGCAAAAAGCAAAATATTTTCATGAAGTATCTGTCAGTTGAAGTCGTCATTCGTCGTACAACAAACAAATTTTAAATTTGACCAATCAGTGTTCGCTATTCATGACAGTCCGCCATATTTTTGAGATCAGTGAGGATGACCACCCACCGAAACACGCACAGTGACCCACGCCCGCGATATTTGATGAACTTCAGACTTCCCTAATGCTTTCGTTTCCCCGGGTGTAAATAGCCGGGGGGAATTAGTACCCTCGCACGGCGCTTCGCGCCGCCGGCTCGGGGAAAAAGGAATTGCACAGTCGTAAAATTACCGAAATAGTCAGTATAGACGGACATATATCTGTTATAAATAGTAATTTTGAATGGGCAATTTATACACGTACCGCCCACATTGGAAATAGACAATTTGTGAACAACGGTCAAGTAACCTTACAATAGAAAGGTTTAGATTTGATACCGCTACCATTAACCAATCAGACGCGTTTGATATATCCGATTAACCAATCAGACGCGTACTGAGCCAGTGAGAGGTAGTGGAAGTCAAATCTGAACCTCTCTAATATATGGTGTTGGTGGCGAGATAAATAATTATTATATTGAACAAACAAATTTGGAATAACCAGTTTAAAGCCTGGTTTTCATTTGGTCGTAACTGTCGTGATCAAGTCCTGTTCGACGATGTGAAAGTCTGAATTTATCTTGTTTGCTGTATGTGAATTATCACTTCATACACTGCAGAGATGTGTTCACGGCCGTAACGACAAAGGGTGGATTTCCATGCACTTACAGAGAAATATTTCGCTTGATTTCTTTTGAATCGTAACCATCCGAATAAATCCGTTCTATATTTGACCGCTCACAATTCAATTTTTCTTGCAAGTGGAAATCCAGCTTAAAATGGAAACCAGACTTAGATTCAAAATAGCAAGCACGTGTAAAATAATTCTTTAAGAAGCTTGTTGTAATGTGTTGGTAGTCATGTAATATCGTACTTGGTATAACTGGGGGATTAGAGCAGAAACTGCATGGGAAGTGTCTGGTTTACGTTAATAATAACATATAAATGTCTAATATCTTAATAATATTTAAGAAATATACCCAACGTTTTCGGACGCAGGTAGCCGTAGTTGTGCAGTACTAGTTTTAATTTATAGAATATTCAGTTGTAATTTACATATGGTATTGTGTTATATGAATAAATTATATAACTGTAAAACCCCGTTTAGTTTGTGTCCTTACACTACACGTTATACTAGGATCTTCCTAGAAGATATAAATTGTAAACAACGAGTGGTAAACACTGATCACTTTTGTTTCAGAAAACAACCAGAAGACGTGTGTTGTTATTAGCTGGTACAAATGACAAAACACCCTTTTGGAAAGTGCTCAGTCTTGGCTATAGAGCCTCGTTTTCATGATTGAGTATTGGCAGGGTTCGTATAAAACGTGAATGTTGTCCTTGTATTTGAAAACAAAAATTCAAGGCCTTGAATTTGTAAAGCAGTACTTGAAAGTCCTTAAATTTTTCTTGTTTTAGTTTTTGGATATTTTCTGAAATTGTTTGACATTCAAAACGGACATTTTGTTGAATTGATTTTGCATGTTCATTCTGACAAAGCTGTTTGAAACTCATTAAAGTTGCGTTTTGACAATTCGACGTCAGATTTTAATGATTTCTAACCCTTTTCTTCAGTATAAACCCTTTTATTCAGTCCTTGAATTTGCTGATATACATAGCCTTGAATGTCCTTGAAAAGTCCTTGAATTTGACTCTTCCTCACATGTACGAACCCTTGGTATTGGGTTTTAAGCCCTTTATCTTGTTACAGCCTGTCTCGACACATTTACGAAACCATACAGTTATATCAGTGAACATGACAGACCTGTTTATAATTTTGGAAGGGTGTATATTGCTATCATATAACAGAGTTACTGGATTGGAGGATGGACCTAAACCTCTGGGGGCCAGTTGTACGAAGGCAGGATGATTTTTTTCAACCGTGGTAAAATTGCTTGAAATGCTATAAAACTATATGTGGACATCAGAACTAATAAAAAGAAACTTGAATTTATAAATACTAAAGTGTAATATGGGTTATACCTATACATAATACCCTGGGTTCTAGTGGTTGTTCCATGCTATGCTTACAAGGCCGAGTTGCAGTCCATCGAAACTTTTAAGGCGGTTTTCGGCTTTTATGTGTTTTCTTTTGCGAGCGTGGAAAAGCCAGGGTAACCTATCAACGAGCCTGCGTCACAGACGCTCGTGGGCGGAAATGAGGGTAACCAATCAACAGACAAGAACCCCGGTCTGGGTGAGTATGAACATGTTTTCTGAACAAAACAGGCGACTCGTTCTTTGAAATGACCAACCTCGTCCCCAGAGCCTTTTGAGGAAAGATGCGAAGGCCTTTGCTGCCCTTCGCCTCCTTCCTCAAAAGGCCCTGGGGACGAGGTTGTGAAATGACAACCTCTGCATAGTTTGCTTGTGTGATGTTACTCTTGAAAAATATGCCTGGCCACGGTGGGATTCGAACCTACGACCTTTGGAATACTAGCCCAATGCTCTGCCAACTGCGCTACAGGGTCAGGTCGGATCGACTATGCGATATTTCGGAACTGAGTCTAGTTCCTTCGATATCAGTGTAATCTAATAATCATGAAATTTGCTGTGTTGGTTTGTTTTTTATTGTCAAGATCAACCAATCGCAGCCAATCGCAATGCTTGTTTATGCAAATCATGGCGCCGTATCGGAGTGTCTGATATTTTACACAAGCATAAACGTTTTCGCAAAGAACATAAACTTTGTCATACTGTAAACATTGTCATTTCAAGGTAAATTTGTCATCAGGTACACCTAACCTGCGAACGGGCATACTCTGCATACGAGATTGCAGTTGTAGAAGCGTTGATTTGAACTTTTAAAAGAATTGCGACGTATACCACTGGTAATTTTCTAAATGTCTGCTGTGGTTTATTACATTTGGCAATACATCATATAGCCATGTTATTAAAGCGTTTTGAGAACATTTATAGAAATACTGAACCTTTGAGGCAAAGCTATTTGTACATAGTGATTTATAGGTGTTGTTACAGATATTTGAAATAAATTCCAGTCCTGTTCTACTTTCATATTATGGAGATCATATTCAGTCGAATTCCAATTACGTTAACCGAGGTTGACTAAAAAAAACAGTTAATTTACTTCTGCCATACACAAGAACATTGGTGCCATGAAGTATTTCAGTTAAGGTGCAGTTTTCATACTGTATATCCACATATCTGCATGTTACCTAGAAAACAAAATGATTGGAATAACCATTTAATATCTGTTTAAAGGCCGATTTATACTACGCAACTTTTGCCTAAAACTGTCGTATGCAACCTGCAGCTTACAACTCCCAGCTTTGCCCGCGTCAGGCCTTACCTTAACCCTCCCTGAAATAAGAAGGAAGAAAAGATGGCGCGCGGAAGGAAAGATAGCCCAGGGATTTTAGTAAATTGACCCTTACTAAAAGGTATTGAACAATCAAACTCTCGACGAAGCAAATTCGGTTTTATAAAATTATATTATTGAAAATCACTCACAGTTGTATACGTGGTCTAGTCTCTCTCACAGTCACACAGTCACTACATTCCTATCTTTTAACTCCTCTTCATAATAATATAAATGTGTCAATCATGCAATGTTCGTCCCTAATTAAAGTAATAATTAATCCTGCTATTAAATCACAAATATTAAGATATATATAGACAGTCTCCGACACACTCCCCCATGCAAGTTAGGAGCTAAATTGTATGTTCCCTAAGGAACTGCGCTTCTAAACTATCGTGTTCGTGGAAAACAAAACTTGAAAATGAATCTAGTGTTAATGTGTAAATATTATATAGTGTTCACATATCTTCTTCTTGATCTTCTGCTATGGCGGTTATTTTTGCTCGTGCATCTGCTGCGGCAGCTCTTTTCGGTACGAACGCTCGGGCTACGGGGTTCAGTTGGACTCTGCCTTCGTTCGCGTTCCCTTTTGTGTCGCACTGGAGTTCTAGGGGATAGAGATGCTGAACGGTTCTTTCTATCTCGCAATTTTTCGTCCTGAGCTGAACAGCTCGCGTCCGACCATCTGGTCCTGGGAATAACTTCTCCACTATAGCTAGTGGCCATTTCCCTCGATTCTTATCGTCTGTCTTCACGATCACTGCGTCCCCTTCTTTAACTATATATTTCTGAGTCTTATGGACGAGGCTGTGACGTTCTCTCAGCGCTGTCATGTACTCGCGTCGCCATCTCTTCCACAAGCTATTCTTGCACGTTGTTAGATACTTCGCTCGTTTCCGTAGGTCTTGGTCTTCGATCCGCCATGGTTCACTTTCGGGTAATTCATTAGCTCGTTGAAATAGAAATGTGGAAGGGGTTAGGGTTGGAAGTTCTACGTCATCTTCCATGTAGCTTAGTGGACGTCGATTCACTTGGATTTCTACATCTAGCAGTACGTCGTTCAATTCCGACCACGTCAGCTTCGCCCCACCGATCACCTTGTACATAGCACTCTTTACCACTCCTATCAATCGCTCGAACTGACCACCCCACCACGGGGCTCTGCTCAGGTTGAATTTCCACGACACGTCGTATTGTTGCAGAAGGCCTTGCACACGTTCGTCGTTCCTGATTTGCTTCAACCACTTGGAGGCCTTGACGAACGTAGCCCCATTGTCAGAGTAGATGATTCTCGGACGCCCGCGTCGTGCGATCAATCGTTTCAGACACGGGATAAATGATGTCGTTTCGAGGTTCTTTATCAGTTCGAGATGGACTGCCCTCGACAAACTACACGAGAATATGACTAAGTAGCTCTTCCTTTCGCGTTTGTTGGAGCACTTATAGCGTATAGGGCCCGCGAAGTCCGTACCTATCACTTCGAACGCTACCCCGCCAGTGGTACGATCTTTAGGCAGCTTTCCTGGAATTGGTTTTACGATCGGCGTCGCTGTAAATCGCTTACAGCCATAGCACTTTGCACGAACAGTTTTCACTAGTCGTCTTAACGTCGGGAGCCAATAGATCTCACGCACTGCTGCCATCGTCAACAGCACACCACCGTGTAGTGTTTCCACGTGGTATCTCTGCACGAGTTTTTTAGTGAACTCAGAGTCGGCTGGGAGGTATATAGGATAATGTCCTTGGATTCTTCCGCGGCATTCGAGAATCCCGTGTTGATTCATGACGAGGTTAAGGGACTGTTTTGTATGCTCGAAGTGGGGTCTTAGGGAATCTTTCGCTTGCTCTCGTTTTGTCCACCAGTCTCGAACTTCTCTTACGTCATCGGACGTCAGGGACCCTCTACGATGACGGTTTGTCGTAAAGCGGCGTACCCAGGCTAGAATTCGGAGTGCGCGAAGCAGATCGTGACGTTGGAGAAGGTTCTCGAAGGGGTCGTTCTCAGAATCTTTATCTCGTTCTTGTTCTTGTTCTGGTCCTGCATAGAGGCAATCGTTCAGGGATGGAGCTTCGGGTGATTCTCGGGCCGAGGCGTCATATACAATCCTCATTTTGGTCGTCTGGGCTGATTCCCTGACTACGTATCTGTGTGGAATGTAGAATTCCTTTGCGTTGCTTCCGCTCACAGTGGGGGGTGGAACTAGGTCACTTCCGCTCACAGTGGGGGGTGGAACTAGGTCACTTCCGCTCACAGTGGGGGGTGGAACTAGGTCACTTCCGGTCACCACGGGGGGTGGAATAGGGTCACTTCCAGTCACCACGGGAGGTGGAATAGGGTCGCTTCCGGTCACCGCGGGAGGTGGAATGGAGTCACTTCCGGTCACCACGGGAGGTGGAATGGAGTCACTTCCGGTCACCACGGGAGGTGGAACAGGGTCGCTTCCGGTCACCACGGGAGGTGGAATAGGGTCGCTTCCGGTCACCACGGGAGGTGGAATAGGGTCGCTTCCGGTCACCACGGAAGGTGGAATGGGGTCACTTCCGGTCACCACGGGAGGTGGAATGGAGTCACTTCCGATCACCACGGGAGGTGGAATGGAGTCACTTCCGGTCACCACGGGAGGTGGAACAGGGTCGCTTCCGGTCACCACGGAAGGTGGAATGGAGTCACTTCCGGTCACCACGGGGGGTGGAACTCTTTCGATGACCCCCTCAGCGAGTTGTTCTTGTATAATGCCGTCGTACTTCTCCATCAAGTTTTCGCGTTGAAGTCTTTTAGTCAAACCTCCGAGTCGCTTCAGGCTACCACGTTCATTGTTTGGAAGATAGGGATGGTTTGGTTTCCAAGGTAACGCGGTCTCGTACCATCCCTCGGGAGATCGGGTCAACTGTTCCTTAAACGCGCTAAATACCACCGTCTGGTCATGTTGGGGGGTATCTTCGAGCCCTAAAACGTCCAGTCTACACAATTCCTCGTACTCGGCGTGGGAGGTCTGGGTCATCAACATCACGTTGCTTTCGAACTCGTACCCAGGGCCCATTAGAAACCAACCAAACTTGGTCAACTCCGCGATAGGGGCTTTCTCGTCTCCTATTCTCGGTCTTGTTTGCGTTTTAATCTTCGCATACTCCCCGCTCCCCAAAATGACATGGACAGGCAGGGTATCCTTGACGTCATCGTCGTTCATTGTCACGCCCGTTAAGTGGGGGTGTTGATTGATTAATTTGGGGTATTTGGGATTGTCGATCAACAAAAGTTCACTCTTGTTTACCTTTGTAGCTCTTACGGGAAGACTAAACGAGCCGTCTAGCGAGTCAAATTTCATATCGTAAATCTCGAGTTTGGACGTCTTAGAGGCCATTAACATGTCAATGTTTTTAATCTGGGATTGTGATGGTTTCAGTTTGAGTAAGTCTAGCAGTTTTGCTGACACGTAGGAGCTCCCAGCTCCCGAATCAATCAGCGCTCTACATCGAATTCCATTGACTTCTACAACGACTACTGGAAACACCGCTTCGCTTTTCTGGCATGTAGTCATGGCAACGTTTGAATTTTGGCCAGAAATTTGACCACCAGCCTTGTTGTCGTGAGAATCACAAATAGACGTGTGATGTCTCTTTCCGCACTTCCTACAAGTGGCTTTACTCGGACACTCAGAGGCTTTATGATTGCCCGCGGCGCAATTAAAACATAATCGTTTCTTGGCTAGTATCTGTTTACGGGCTGACGTCAGAGTTACTTTTGCGCAATCGTTTGTTTTGTGCTCGCCGCTATCGCAATAAACGCAATTACGTGGATTTAATCTCTGACGAGAGACATGAAACAGCTTGTCTCTTCTCTTGCTGCTAAACGAGTCGTCGTTTAGTTCAGATGGTTTGTCGATTGGATTTCTTCGACACCACTGGTTGAGCGCTTCAACTAGTTTGGTGAAGGTCCATTTCTCCCATTCAGGGTCCGTTCGCACCAAATCTCCACGAATGCTAGGCAGTTTATCAAGAGTCATTGGCACGGCGCCATTGACCCCGTCAAGCTTGTCCAATGTCTCTAAAGCTTGAACGCAGTACGACAATTTGTCGCTAAACTCATGAATCCTTTTCTGATTGGCCGCTTGTATTGTGGGCAACCCAAGTATCTCGCGCGTGTAACCCTTTACTATCTCGGATTCTTTCCCAAACTTATCCTTCAGGATGCTTATCGCTCGATTGTACCCTTCGCTGTGGAAGGGCAATGCTTCGATTGTTTGTCGTGCTTTAGGCTCTAACAACTCGCGAAGATAAGAAAACTTAGTCACCGGGGCAATTGCGGATTGATCAATGTTCTCTGAGAATTGTCCCCAAAACCTTGGCCAATCCATAGGAGAACCATTAAATTTCGAAATCACTAGCTTCGGTAATTTCGCTTGCATTCCAATCATAGTTTTACTGGTCTGCGAGGTGTTTTTAAGAATATGTTCATCTTGTAACTTTACTTTAGTGTCATGCAGTTTTACCTCAAACTTGATCTTCTCGTCGTTCTCCTTCTCCTCTAGTTTCCTCTTGTTTTCCGCCAACCATTCCTTCGTCAGTCTTACATGACTATCTGCCTCGCTGATTTTGGTATCAATCTCCTCGCTCCACTCGGTAGTATCCTCTTTTCTGCCCAGTTTTTCAGCTTCAACCGTAAGCCTTAGATTTTTCACTTCGCCAATAACAGTTCTGAGTGTTCCCTGATGTCGAGCAATAGGCTCTTCTTCGGATTTTGCAAGAATTCCGTCCGTGCGCTTCGTCGTTAGTTGCAATTGAAATAATTTTGTTTCCAGCGCGGTGCTGGCGTTTGTCTCACTCATTTTACGATCCCGTCGGAGGTGCCAGGTTTAATAAATTGACCCTTACTAAAAGGTATTGAACAATCAAACTCTCGACGAAGCAAATTCGGTTTTATAAAATTAT